CCTGTGGGCTAACATGGGCTACAGCTCAGGTCCAAAAAAAAAAAAAATATGTACTAGTACTATTACTTATCAGCTATAGCCCAGTCCAACTTTCCTAATCCATGATAAATGGCCCAGCCCACTAGACACAAGCCCAACAAACCGAAGCTTATCGACCAAACTATTCAGCGCATACTGCCATACATGAATGAATTCACGAACTGATACAAATCATACAACTATACAAGGGTTTGAATACAAAATACTGAAACACGAAATGATTAAATACCATGAATCACCCACTTGAGCTTCGGAATTGGACTAAAAGATTGAAGACTTGAAGACTCAGATTAGAATGGAAAAATCCGAAAATCATCTTGTAAGTTATAAGTGCTCAAATTTAGATTGTAGATACATATATATATATATATATATATATATATATATATATATATATATATATATATATATATATATATATATAGATTTGCATATTTTAATCTAGGGTTTCAGTTACTTTAAATTTGGGATTTTTTTTTTATTTTTTGGGAGAATTGAAACTTAGGCTTTTATTAGTTTATACATGAACCCTGTTTGGTGCACCCGAACGCATATCTACTTTGTCTATTGGCTGTAGCATGATCTTATGTTCCAATTTCAAAGCCCTGTTTGGTGCACCCGAACACATAGATGATTATAGAAGATCACAAAGCCATAAGGTGAATGTCTATTAATGGTGGTATTAAACATAAACATAGCCTAACAATTAAAAACAGTGAGTTATGTGAATTAGAGACAAATTATGAGAAAATAATGTAAAAGTATGATAGATTTGCATACATTTGTTTGTTTTGTATGTGTGTGAGTTAGAGTGAGTTGAAATAAATTTCAATAAAAGTTTTTCATTTCTTTGACAATACACAGACATCAATAATTTTTTTTTTCTTTTTCCTGCTCCAGCTCTATAGGTGATAGGTAATTAGGCATGCCCTTTATTTTTGTTTGTTGAAGCACTACACGGTATGAATTTTCCACCCTCGAGATGAAAATTTTGTTTTCGTTTTATAAACGAAAAGATGATAAATCATAAATTGGGACAGTTTCTACGAGTACGAGTACCCGTCCTGAGACTACAAACTCTAATGAGCAGTAACGAGAGCCTGCTTCAAAAATTCTAAGAGTTGAGCAGACAGAGGTTGTGATATATGGAAACACCCCGTTAATGAACGTGATGAGCTTCGACGAAATTATATCTTAAAGGGACCTTATCAACCAAAACTCCCTGTGTTTCCTTCCACTCAAGATAGAGCTCAATCTCGTCGATTTCAAAGTAGTTGGTATAAAAAATTCACTTGGATTGAGTATTCTCCTAAGAAAAATAAAGTATATTGTTTGCCATGTTTTCTCTTTGAAACTAATCCACTATCCCGTCCTGCTTTTACTGTCAAGGGGTTTAATAGTTGGAAAAGGGTTAATGATGGATCTAGGTGTGCTTTTGCAACATATGGGAGGTCCTAATTCATTTCACTTGTGTGCCGTAAGAGCTTCAGATGCTTTAATGAATCCATTACAACATATTAACAGAGTGTTGAATGTATCATCTAGAGATGTGATAGAAAAAAATCGATTATACCTTAAGACAACAATTGAAAGTGTTCGGTGGCTTGCATTCTAAACATGTGCATTTAAAGGTCATGATGAATCCGTTGAATCTTTGAATCGTGGCAACGTACTTTATTGAATTCATAAAGCATTCAACAAAGTTAAATGACAAAGTTGCTGACGTTGTCTTAGAGAATGCACTAAAAAATGCAAATTACCTCTCGCCAATGGTTCAAAAGAGGTTTTACATATTCTTGGCAATAAGGTGAGACGCGAGATTCGTGAAGAAGTTGGGGATGCAAAATTTTGTATTTTGGTTGATGAAGTACAAGATTTGTCTAATACAGAGCAAATGGCAATTGTATTGAGATTTGTTGATAAGAATGGTTTGCTTAGAGAACGATTTTTTGGAGTTGTAGGCATTAAAGACACCACTGCCTTAACTCTTAAAAAAGAAATATCAGATGTCCTTGCTCTTTATGATCTCCAAATTGATAACATGCGAGGCTAAGGGTATGATGGAGCGAGCAATATGTGTGGGGCATGGAATGGATTACAAGCATTGTTTCTTAAAGAATGTCCATATGCATATTATGTACACTGTTTTGCTCACTAACTACAACTAGCATTAGTTGCTGCATCCAAAGATGTGCAAGATATATGGCTATTCTTTTCCAAGTTAAATTCTATTGTCAATCTTGTCAGTGCTTCTCCTAAGCATCATAGCGAGTTACAATCAACTCAAGTGATTTTATCCGCTAATAAGTTGGCTACTGGGGAACTTCAGACTGGTAAAGGAGTTAATCAAATTAAGACTTCACAACGAGCAAGTGCCACTCGATGGAGCTCTCATTTTGGTTCTGTTGGTAGCTTGATAGACTTATTTGGTCTATCTCGTATAATTATTGAAAATCTTTCAAAGAATTGACCAACTAATTCTATATGTGGGGAAGCAAAAGGTGTTTATCTTGCAATGCTATCATTTGAATTTATATTTATCTTGCATTTGTTGCGTGAGATGATAGGAATTACTGATATACTTTGTCAAGCATTGCAACGAAAAACTCAAAACATTGTAAATGCTATGAACCTTGTTTCAAGTACGAATGCACTCCTTCAAAAATTGAGAGAAAATGGGTGACATACTTTCTTTCAAAATGTGGAATCATTTTGTAAAGAACATGACATTGTAGTACCTAATATGAGTGTTTTTTATATAGTGGGTACAGGTCGTTCTTGTTAACAAAACGATAGTATTACATTTAATCAACACTATCAAGTTGATATTTTCAATGCTGCTATAGATTTTCACTTGATGGAGTAAAATAAGAGATTCTCTGAAAGTACAGTGGAACTCCTTATTCTTGGCACAGCTTTGGATCTTAAAGATGCTTATAAATCATTTAAAGTTGATGATAATTGCGATCTTACAGGGAAATTTTATCCTAAGGATTTTCAAGATAAGATGTGTGCTTTGAGAAGCCAGTTGGAGCATTATAAGATTGATGTACTCTATCATCTGAGTTTTCAGAATTTGTCTACCATTTCTGATTTATGCAAAATGCTAGCTGAAACAAGAAAGAGAGAAACTTATTATCTAATTGATAGATTGATTCGTCTCATATTGACTCTTCTTGTTTCTATAGCAACAACAGAATGAGCTTTTTCGGCAATGAAGCGTGTCAAAACTAAACTTCGCAACAAGATGGCTGATGAATTTCTTATAGATTGCATGATTCTCAATATTGAAAGAGAACTTGCTAAAGATATTGATATAGATTCGGTAGTTAATGAATTTGACTCTCTTAAAGATTGGAGGGTTCATCTTCAATAACTTAGGTTCATCTTCAGTAGGTTACTTAAGAGAATGCTATATATGTTTTTGTATCCATCTATGATGTACTTGATTTAATATATGAAAACACCATCGTTTTTTTTTTTTTTTTTTTAATATATATATATATAACATATATTTGTCATAAGAATTATTGTGTTCATCTTCAAATTTTTTTTATCTTTAGCCCTCCCCACTTTGGAATCGTAGCTCCGTCCCTGCAAGTTATATGATATATCTCTAATAAATTGATGCAATTAACTGGTGGTGCAATGTTAGTGGTGAAGTCATTTCCCTAGTTATCTCTCTATTTTCTACAGCCTATTTAATTATTATTCTCATTTATATTTTTCTACTTAGTTAATTTAAAATAAATCATCACAATCTGATTATCCTACTTTCAAGTTAATTTGGAATTTAAGAAATCTACTGACAAACTTAATTTACACGAGTCCCTTGGGTACGACACCCTTATAAGTAAGTTATATCTGCAAAGATTTGTGTATTTGCAAGTGGTACATATAAATCTCACAACACTCTCTTTTGTTATCCTTCTAACTATTGAAATCAAAGAAGAAGAAAAAAACAATAAAAAAAAATTAACAAAGTGTGATAACAGAAACACCACAGTAGTGCTGAATTTTTGTAAGAAAATTTGTTAATTCAAAAAGTAAAATAAATATAAACATACTTGCTTGATGGTTTTGTCCATGGTTTTCTGCAGATGCAATAGATAATAGGAGAAGATGAACAGATTAGAGACATCCAAACAGACTTGCTTGATTTGTTCCACATACAGAAAAACAAACTGCCACGTTCATACTCCGATTTGAATTAGGTTTGTATTTTCATGTCATTATAAGAAAAATAGTTTTTTAACACGCCTTTTTTACCACAGTTATTTTAAAATCGTTGTAAAATATCTTTTTTACTACGATTAAGGAAAAACCATGATAGTAATTGTATTTTTTATCACGGTTATAAAATAACCGTAATAGAAAGTAAATTAATTTCACTCAAATTTAGGACCCTTTTTTCTGCCACGGTTAAGTTATTCTATCGCGATTCAGGAACCTTGGTAGAAAGTAAATTTGGTTTAAGGTACACGGGTCTTATTACCGCCACTTTCTTAAAATTTTAGGGCAAATCATTTCAGACCCCACACACGCGTATAGACCATACATACAATTTTAGGGCAAATCATTTCAGCCTCCCAATTCGCCTTCATCTCTATTCCCGTTCTCAACTCTGAACTTACCCTCTCTCTGTCTCTGCAACTGCAGACTACAAAATCTACAAGAATCAGATCAGCCTCCCAAATCGACTCCATCTCTATTCTCGTTCTCAAGTCTGAACTTGCCCTCTCTCTGTCTCTGCAACTGCAAACTGCAAACTATAAAATCTACAAGAATCAGAACCATATCGGCGTATCATTTCAGATTGTTCAAAATATCAAAACCCATATCCTTCAGTTTCCATCGCCCGCTGTTCCAGTTCGGGTTCGCCGTTCGCAAGCTTCAGCCTCTGGCCCGCTGTCTCTCAACTCTCAAGCCCTCTCTCTGCAACTGCTAACTTGCATGTATGGGTTTTGTTTTAAATTATTTTTTTCTAAATCAATTAATCAAGTTCTGCAATTCTTGTTTTGCAAACTAAATCCTATTTAGTGAAATTTTTAGGGCAAATCATTTCAGCCTCCCCAGTCGCCTCCATCTCTATTCTCGTTCTCGACTCTGAACTTGCCCTCTCTCTCTGTGCAATTGCAAACTACAAAATCTACAAGAATCAGAACCGCATATCATTTCAGATTGTTCAAAATATCAAAACTCATATCCTTCAGTTTCCATCGCCCGCTGTTCCAGTTCGGGTTCGCCATTCCTGTCTCTTAACTCTCAAGCCCTCTCTCTGCAACTTGCTTCTTTTGTCAAATCATCATCAATTTATTATTGCTGCTTTTGTCTAATCATCATCATTTTCCCATATTCTATATGATTTCATCAGTCGAATTCTAGTTTTCTGTTTGTTTGACGCCAATAAGACCTTATTTTTGAGTTAAATTCTGCCACTTACATTTATGTTCATTATTCTTAACTTTGATTCTGAAATGTCTGATTATTGTGATACAATAATTACAATAATTCTGCAGGTGGACTTTCGCATTAGTAATCATTTATTTCGCGGTATGTCGAGCACCTAAAACATAATTTAACTTTGTTTGCTATTTATATAGTGTTTTGTTAGCTTATTTTAGTTGTTTGGTGAATCTCATTGCATAATCATATGCCTAATTAAAGTCCATACATAAATCCATCAAACATAATATAAAACTACGGGTCTGTTTTTGTGTTTTGAAGAAATATAATTAATTGTTTAACAAATCTAAACCTATTTTGCTCCTACATATACCATTTCCATTGATTTGTAGATTGGGACCGTTGTATCTGCTCCTACTCAGGAAAACCTCCTTCTGATAATGGAGAAAGAGGAGAGTTTCTCAAAATGGATGTGGAAGAGAGTATTTCGACAACTGCTGCAACTTCTAGGGGAAAAAATTTCTGGGCAGCATCAAGTTGCAAAGCCACTACTATGACGAAGAGGAGATGCGACAAAGAGCTGGAACTGCATATCAGGTTAGTCCATTAAGATTTGTTACTTTTGTTTCACTATTAATATGTGATTTGCTAGGACCACATCATAATTTATGATTGTTGATAATCTTTTAGCCTTTTTTATTTGTGTTCTAGGCTGATATATACAGTTCCACTTTGTGTTTATGCGACCTGCACTTTTTTATGGGTAGATTGACAAATGATGTATATGGCCTGAGCAGATATAAGCTTCAAAAATGGCATGGCGCTCAAGTTGTTCCTAAAACACTTTACGAATGATGACTGAGGAAAAAACCAATTAATAAGTACTGTTTTTCAATATCTGCTGTAAGAGATTAGATGTTTTCAAGAACAGAATTGCAAATCTTGTGGAATTTTCTCTTTGGTTTCTTCTTAACTATGATGAAGCAATTTCCTTTTTCTTCTTATTTTGTTCTACTAAACATTATTGAGGCAAAACTTTTTGTATAATGCCTTTTTATATATTCCTCCATAGTGGGTTGGATTTAGTCTTAATCTTAAAGACATCTAGTGGTACACTGACTTGGTTCAAAAGAATTTAAAAAGAAAAAATAAAAAAATTTGCACTAAGATTTGATCTTCATTGATTTTCATCCCTTTTAGTCTCTAAATTCCTCAATGCTTCTTTTCTTTTAGTTTTGTCACCTTTAAAACTAATTTGAACTGATTTCATGCTCATGCTCCTAATCAAACATATTTTGATTTAAACATGTCATGTGATACGATTAGGCTCTTAATTAAACTTGTTATAATATGGAACTCTTTATGTTGTCATAGGGATATGATAGTGTTCTCATTTTTAATACATTTTGGATGTTTGATTACACATTTTTAATGCTTTTTACTCATGCTCGAGGGGGTCACGTGCCTTTAAGTGACCAATTTTGCGGTGTATAGGGGGTTACGTGCCTTAAGTGATTATTTTTTTTTATTTTTTATTTTTTATTATTGTGCATAAATGGAGGCCAGGAAATTTTTTTTCTTGAATGGTGGAGATATATACTAATACAAATGAACAATAAAATAAGTGATCACTGGGAAAGATCACAAGGAAAACAAAAAAAATAGAAACACATACTGGTTTAGTATCATAAGCCTTAGCTAAACCCATACCAAACCAGAAGGTATCTTAAGAAACTCCAAGAAATAGTATCATATGCCTTAGCTAAATCAATCTTCAAAGCAATAGTGGGAAGGGTACTTTTGGAGCTAAAACCTTTGAGAAGATCAGGAGCCAATCAATCTTCAAAGCAATAGTGGGAAGGGTACTTTTGGAACTAAAACCTTTGAGAAGATCATGAGCCAGTATAATGTTGTGAGGAATTCTTCTTCCCTTAATGAAAGCAGCCTGTTCTGGCCCTACCAACGTACTAATAACAGAAGCTTGTCAAATTTTTTGTAGCAAACTTATAAATGGAGTTAACATAAAGATATTGGCCTATAGTCCATTATTCTCAAGCAGATATCTATATTTGGAATAAGAGTCAAGAATGTGCTATTAACTCCTTGATGCAAACTGCAGTGTGAAAAGAAATAATGAATGGCTGCTACCAAATCAAACTTTAAGATAATCCAAAATTGCTAGAGAAACCTGTTAGGAAAACCATCTGGCCCTGGAAGGAGTTACAGACATATTGACATTCTTAATTTCCTCCTCCAAGATAGGATCTTCAATAGATTCTCTATCCTCTATAGAGGGGACAAATCTGGAATTGAAGACAATGGGAGGACAGGTAGTGTCTACCTTGTAGAAATTACAATAATATTGAACCAACCAGTCCTTAATTTGCCTTTAATCTCTAGAATAAACCCCATTCAATCCTTCTAAGATAGTAATTGAGTTAAAATCCCTTATCAACGAAAAAAAAAAAAAAATGAGTTAAAAATCCCTTTATGGTTCATTGTATTGGTCTTTGGATGACTTTGTATTTAAGTGCGTCTTTGGATGACTTAGTATAGTATAGTTAGCCAATCACAACAATTTTTAGAGCAAAGTGCATAAAAATTTAAAGTGAAGATATGGATTAGAAGCATAGAAGAAGTATGCATCTCATATTCTTACTTAGAAGTCTACAACCCGTCCAACTGTAGCATAGAAGAAGTATGCATCTCATATTCTTACTTAGAAGTCTACAACCCCTCCAACAGTCAAACATGCATAATTTATTTTTTCTTATGGTTGTAACATATGCTTTCACTGTCTTATGTTTTTTCTTATGGTTGTAACATATATGCTTAGGCTCTTAACTTGGTTTTAATTTTGGCAACTTTACAACTTGCTTTACATTCTCTTACTTCAACTATTACATCTTTGTAGGTCAAGCTAGGATTGCGGGATTGCGGTTGCCGTTACTTTTTTTGTTGCTGCTATATTTTTTGTATGGCCCATGAAGAAGTTGCATAAATAGAAGAGAGACTAAAATAGAGCAAGAAAATATGAAGAATTTTTGTTTTATTTTGGTTAAGTAAAGATATAAGTTGTGGATCATGTACTTCTTTGAAATTTGTATATGGTTAATTTTTGTATAATGATTTGGAATTGGTTATATATATATATATATATATATATATATGAAGTTATTGGCTAGTTGTAAGTTATTTTGGTTATGATTTTATTTTTTATTTAGTTAGGGTTTGCTTCTTGGGTCCTTGCAAAGCTAGTAGTAGGAAAAAAAAAAAAAAAAAAAAAAAAAAAGGCCTCATAGAGGTTACACTATTTTTAAAAAAAAAAAATTATATAACACTTTCATCCACGGTTATGCACCCTTTCTACCACTGTGCATAACTGTGGTAGAAAGCGTTTTTCACCGTGGTAAAAACTGTTTTTCTTGTATTGTGTCTTCCTGGCTTTAGGAAAGTTTCCTTTTTTATTTATTATTTAACGGAGTATTTTGGTGACCAGATTTATATTATTATTATTATTATTATTATTATTTTCTGAATTCCGTTTTGGCAAGTAGGTTTAAAAAGTTTGAAACAAGAGCCTCCAAACCACTATGTTGCAACAAAATTTGTTCATTCAAAAAGTAATATATATATATATATATATATATATATATATATATATATAGATCCATATTCCATACACAAGTAAAAAAGATGTAAATTTCTACCTTGCGTTTTCAGCAAATATTGAGGCGGGTCTCGTGCAGATCCAAAAGATAGCCGGAGTTGATGAACACATGACTTTCCTTTTGTTCTACATAGAGAAGAAAAGAGGGCAACTTAACCTATAAAACAAACGGACTCGTTCATACTCCGAGTTGAATTAGGGTTTGTTTGTACTTTTTGTATCTTCGTAGGGTTAGGAAATTTATTACTCCGTAAGTGAGGTTTCTTTTATTTTTTTCTTTTTAATTCGCTATTGGTAAGTAAGTTTTAAGGATTATTACAAATATATGGATTTATGAATTCATATTTATCATCTGATGGAATTAAAGTCATAATTTTCGAATTAAGTTGACAAAAATACTGATGTAGACATAAGAAAATATTGTTTATTATTCAAACTACCGTTACTATTTTTATGTACCACTTTTATTTTAGACATAGAGGTACCATTTTTATACGCACCATTTTTTTGATACAATATGATGAATTTTGGTACTTTCACATCTGAGGAAGAATTTATAAATCTCCATTATTGTTTGATTAAACTTGCATGCATGGGAGTGATTAATTTGTTGCAAGCCATTGTGTCATTGACGTGTTGCTGTTCTCTCTCACTTTTGTGAGATATGTAATTTTGTGTTGGCAAATTTTTTGTCCAAAATAAGTCTGATTCAATTGAAATTTTCATTTTATTTTAAGTCTTGATGTGAGTGGGACCAACAAGTGCAAGCATATTTTGGTTCCACAATTTTTTTGTGCACCCCTGATAAGAGGTACCTATGTGTATAAAAGTGATACCTCTATACTCAAAACAAACGTGATATTTGGAAATAGTGAGGGAAATTTGGACAAATGAATGAAAATTTTCTATTTTTACATCAGCATCTTGGTCAATTTAATTTTTTTTTTTAAGAATTATGACTTTAACTTCATCAAATGAGTAAATACGGATCCATAACACCATGAGCAATAATCCCTAAGTTTAAAATATTTGAACCTGCTTCAACCCAATATTTCATGTGATATCCAATTTATCCCACTCAAGGCCCAATTGCCCAAGCCCACTGAGCCGCTGTTACTCTACTCTTACTGGCAGTAATTATATACGTATAACTAAGGTTTAAATGCTTTTTTTATCCCTGTTTTCCATTTGATTAATTTCAATTAAGCTATATACCCCAGGTTTTTTTTCCCTCCTTCCCTAGCTGTATAGATTAAAATATATCTATGCTTATATTTTGTATATCAACATATCTAATTAACACAACCAAATAAGTTTTAAAACAAATGAACACAGATTGAAAAAAATAAAAACTATTATACCAAGTAATGTCATCTATGCAGAACAGTAATAGTACTATAACGAAGAAAGAAAGATGAATAATGCTGATACATCTATTCAATTTCAAAGTTATCGGGTGAAAATTATATAAGAAGTTGTCGGGTGAGCGGTGCTCCACTACATGATGTCATTGTGTTATCATGTGGTGATATCCACACCTCCTTCACATAATTTTTTCAAGAAAGATGCTAGAAGAAAACAGTTTATGCATCTAAACTTTTTTTTTTTTTTTTTTTTCTTCATTAAACACCACATTTTCCATTTTTTTTCTTCATTAAACTCCACATTTTCCATTTGCAAAATTTCTTCCCAGCAAAACTAGTTTTTGGATTCCCACTATGTTAAAACTCCAACAGTAGCCCAACAACTAGAAGAGTATGTTGAAATTAGGTGTATTGAATGTTGAATTAGCTGTAAGCTTGATTCTAGGGATTGTGTCTAGAATCAAGCTATTTGACTATAGAAGATTGTAAGATTGATTCTAGAGATTGTGTCTAGAATCAAGCTATATTTATACTCTGTCATATTTGAATGAAATATACGAAATACAATTCATCAAATTCAAGATGGTATCAGAGCGTGGTTCAAAACCCATTTGATTCATTGTTCCAACTTTTTTTTTTTTCAAAACCCAGAAATCTACAAGAATCTGGAGTTTACAACCTATTACCTATATCAAAATCCATATCGGCATATCGTTTCAGATTGTTCAAAAATCAAAACCCATATCCTTCAAAGGGGAACTCACCTCAAAACCCATATCCTTCAAAGGGGAACTCGGTCACACCAAACCCAGTCACAATCGCTGCCCATCACCGGATCAGTCTCGTAAGCCCGCTATTCCTTTCACTAGCCGTCGTGAATCGCCGAAGCTACCACTGTTCCGATCGCTGCTCTTTGCCAGCAAGGACCTCTACCCTTATCGAATCAAATTACAACATATGTTCTCAGCTGATGGAAATGCAAATTGCTAAAAAGGACAAAATCTCATATATTTGTGGCAAGACTAAGCTACCTGTAGAATCTCATGAAGGCTATGAAAAATGGTATGCTGAAAATCAAAAGGTCAAACGGTGGATATTAATGTCTATGTCTCTAAAAATTATGAAGCGTTATTTATGCTTACTCACTGCCTACGACATTTGGAATGCCTTGTCAAAAGCATTTTACGATGGAAGTGATGAATTACAAGTTTTTTCTCTGAATCAAAAGGCATTTTCTGCCAGACAAAAGGGAAGAATCCTCTCTATATATTATGGAGAACTGACTGAAATTTTTCAAGAGTTCGACCATCATGATACGGTGGTTATGAAAGATCCAAATGACGTCAAAGCCCATCGCAAGTCTATTGAACGATTAAGAGTTCACATATTTCTTGCTGGATTGGATGAGGATTTTGATTCCATCCGACAAGAAATCTTACGTAGAGATCCAGTGCCAAATTTGGATGAGTGTTACTCTTTAGTTTGACGGGAGGCTGTGCGTAGTACCACCCTAAACGGTGATTCCGGAGCATCTGAATCCAGTGCCATGGTAGCTCAGAACCTATCTAATCAGGGTCAACAAAATCGAAGACGACTTAACAATATAGACCAACCAATGGTATTGACAAGTCTTCCTACAAATGCACTCATTGTAGTAAGACTGGTCATGCCAAAAGTCGTTGTTTTGAGTTAGTGGGATATCCAGAAAGGTAGGATCCTAGTCGTGCAACGAAAAATCAACAAAAGTCTTCCACTGCAGCAGTTGTCTAAACAAAGACGGAAGATGAAGTTGCTAGCAAAGCCTCGGCATTGGTAATAGCTATAGACAATGGTAAGGTTTTAAATATTTCTACACTTGTTTTGAATAATGCATGGATAATTGATTCGGGTGCTATAGATCATATGACGTATGATACTACACAGGTTTCACCACTTAATCCCTCCACATAAAAATTTGTCTCTACTGCAAATGGAATTTCGACCCCAGTTAGTGGGGAAGGATCTTTGATTCTAAACGATACATTCAATTTAGATTTTGTTTTAGTTGTTTTATCTTTAGATTATAATCTTTTGTTAGTTTCTCAAATAACCACTACCTTATCTTGTGTTGTAATTTTTTTGCCTAATTTTTGTGTGTTTAAGGACATCAAAACCAGGAAGACGATTGGTTGTGGTATTAGGCAGGAGAAGCTATATTACTTGGACTTGGAATCAAAAAGTACCGAAAGTCTACAACAAGCTCTGACAGTGGGTGGTTCTAAAGATACAAAAAGGAAAGAAATATGGTTATGGCATTGCCAGTTTGGGCATGCTTCCTTTGAATATCTCAAAAAATTATTTCCCAATTTGTTTGTCAGAGTTGATGTTTCTAGTTTTCATTATGATGTTTGTGAACTTGCGAAAAGCCATCGTATTTCATTTCCATTACGATTGAACAAAAGTCCACTTCCTTTTATAATTATTCATTCTGATGTCTGGGGTCCATCTAAAGTCACTACTTTGGGTGGGTCACATTGGTTTGTAACGTTCAATGATGATTGTACCAAGATGACATGGCTTTGCCTGATGAAATCCAAAAGTGAAGTGAACTCGATATTCCAACAGTTTTATAAAAGGTTGAAACTTAGTACAATAAAAAGATTCAAGTTCTTCACAGTGACAATGGTGGAGAATATCAGAGTACTGAATTTCAACATTATTTGAAAACATAAAGAATGATTCATCACACAACTTGCTCCAACACACCCCAACAGAACGGAGTGGCGGAGTGAAAAAATCAACACTTGTTGGCGGTTGTTAAAGCTTTGTTAATCGAAGCCCATATGCCATTATCTTATTGGGGAGAAGCACTAACTTCTGTAGCTTATTTAATCAACCAGATACCCTCCAACACCATCAATTTCAAAACACCATTCCAAACCATTACTGATGCAATTGTTACCCTAGCTGTCTTAAATGTAACTCCTCATGTCTTTGGCTGTGTGGTGTTCGTTCATCTACATAAGCATCAATGCACCAAGTTAATTCCTCAAGCATTGCGATGTGTCTTTGTTAGATATGCCACTCATTAAAAAGGATATCGGTGTTACCATCCTCCAACACGTCGATTATTTGTCACGATGGATGTTGTTTTCCATGAAGATATAATGTACTTCTCCAAA